GAAGGAGTCCAGGGTGCGGTAGCACCAAAAACCCCCTACTGAGTGCTATTGTTAGCCACATGATTTCATGCGATCTTAGGCCGGGCCCCGTCCGTCGATGAGGCCATTGGACAGCAGCGCTTTCACCATCATGCGCTCCACCTCTGCGCGCTCGGAGGAGTGTGTTCATGAACTAATGTGGTTGTGGTTGCTGAACCGGGCTCTTGCTGGTTATGGCTAGCAGATACAGGCGTTAGGAAGAGCTCGGGTAAACATGGGTAAACCCTCTCTCTCCTGCCCACAGCACGAGGCGATGAGCTTGTCAAAGAACGGCTGGAAGGTGTCGTAGCAGTCTGCGCCCCCTGCCACCGCACCTATGGGATGGGCAGCGCGCATGCATTCTAGAGGTATAGGGCAGTAGCCCGCTAATTATAATGCTCTGTTCACAAAGCAGCCCCACCCAGGCCTTGATCATGGGGTGTCCCCGTTTGTCCATTCCCGTCTTGATGCATTTGGCAAAAGTCACTCCCATTGGCGTCTGCCGAGCTCGCATCGCATCATAGAGGCCTGGCTCTTCTTTGAGAACATCCACCGTGATGCTGAAGTGTCTTGAGAGATCGGGCAATTGCTCCGGACATCTGTCGGTGGGGATGTCAAGCTGGCAAAGGGTAGCCCTGTTTCGGCAGTCATGGAGGGGCCCAGAACTCGCCCGGCTATGTCCCAACTGATGGACACGGAATGACTCTTGCGCGTGCTTCGGAACCAAGCTCCATGGACGACCTCACACACCTCACAGTAAGACTCGGAACGATGCAACTCAACTCTGTCGTTTTTCCTCGTGCAGCACGTTCTATGGTGCAGTTCTGGACTCGAACCAAGGCTTTTCGAGGCGACAGCCTGAACTCAAGCAGCTCCCATACAGCTCCCACACTGACCGTTGCTTCGGCGAGGAGTCTCAAAGCAGCCGCTCAACCCCCATACTGAGGCAAGTGCAACTCCAGGTCAGGGCCTTAGATGCAAGGCTTCGCCCACTTACCGCTTTGTGCGGTTGCCATCAGAACGACACTCCGGTGCATGGCCCAAACAATGCCAACCTAGTGGCCCAAGTCTGCAAAAAGCTCGAACAGCTGGTACTTCACTACCTTCACCTCATGGACCGCATTCCACTCGTCACCTCGAAGAAGACATGACAAGGCGTAGTTGGCGTAGTTTTGCACACGAACTGAGCTCCCAACAACAAGGTTGCAGATTGAACACATCTCCCAGAAACAACAGGCGCATTCAAAAGGGGAGTGCAAAGTGCAAACGAGCAAGTGCGGAACGCAAACTTCGAAGAGACTTTCTGAGGATGAGATGACGGGGTGACAGCACGCCTCCACCAGATACCGTAAACTGCATGAGGCGTAATCTGCACTTCCCAATGGCATCTGGGCATCTCTCATTCAGGTGTTTCCTGTTTCGGAACGTGTCCTTTCCCGGAACTGCGGCACTGGAACCATTCGGCGATCTCGTGCAGCCTTTGAAAAAGAATACGGTGCTCGGCGTGCATCTCTCGGTCAACCCGTCGGTGCTGCGAAGCAGTTTCTTGGGTTTTTTTGTGCTGCCGGACTCCTGCCTGTCGGCCTCTCTGTGGCCTATGTAAACCTGCACAAACCACTCGGGCGGCTGGCACGCCACCTGAAAGGAGGCCAGCAACGAAGGACAGCTCTTCACTTTCTGAACCTTGCCAGTTGCCAGGTTCCCGGGCTGAGGGCAGCTTGTCACTGCCCCGTGACGTGTGCAGCATTGAAGGGAAAGACTCAGGCTTGCAAAGGGACGTCTCCATCCCAGCCATGCTCAGACTCAGACCAGCAAACCTTATTAAGGCTGTGGGAAAAACCTGTGGAGATTTTTTGGCGGCCTTCAACTCGTCATCACAAAGAGCTGACATTGTCATTGAGCCACCCCCACAAGACTCCACCCAGAAGGAGATCGGCCTCACAGAAATGCTAGGGCTACTTGAGGCGACTTTGCTTTGCTCGGTGACTGTGACAGCACGAGGTGGGAATTTGGAACAAAGTCGCCCCAAACATCCCCCGAACCCTGAGAAGCAGGAAATGGTTTTGCCGACGGCCTTTCAAGCTCGTCGGAGCGCGGAATTGCAATGCGCGGACGGGTTCCTGCACCGTTAGCCGCCGTGTGGTGAGACGCCGCGAGCCCGCGAAGCCCTAAACCTGCAACAGCACCGAACCCTTTTTCCCCAGGGCTGCCAAGACACAGAGGTACTGGAAGCGGGCCTGCAAAGCGGCATCTGAGCCTGGCCTGCAAAGCGCCACTGTGGCGGCTATCCGATGAAAAGCGCAGAAAGCCCCATTGAGGAGAGGCGTGTTAACCAGGCAGGGATCAGAGACGTCAATCCACGACTCGCTTTAGAAGGTTGCAAGGTCCACCACATAACGTCTCCCATACCATAGACTCCAATGCGTTGAGAACAGCAAGCACTTGCATGTCCACGTGCTCAGTAGCCCAGTGTAATCCATGAAAACCAAGTTGCCTTCGTCCCAACATCTTGCATCACGTGGTGTTAGTCAACGAGCGGCTTCCCGCCTGGTAGTTGGGAAGCTCATCCATCGACCTCGGCGTCCTGCAGCGGGGGCGGGGGGGGGGGGGGCTCTGCAACTCCTTGTGTCCCGCTCAATTTGCGTAGGATTGAGGGATTGAGGCCTAAAGACTGAACGCATCTTTGGACGCTGCAAAAGAAGATGACTGCCTGAATCTGGGCGCAACCGTTGTGACTGGTTCACTCGGCTTATAGGGTACCCTGCGGGTACGTTTAGCACACTTATCTCCAGATGGATTCCAGGCTGTCCATAGTGTGGCTCCAGGAAAGAAACTGGATGCCAGGACCAAAGGTCCACAGTGCTGCCTTGGTTGTTGCTTGGTCCAAGGTGCTGTGGCTCCCTTGCAGCCCGCCTAGCAAAGCTCCGCGGGCTATCAGAGAGCGTAACATGGCGGATCCAAGTAGCTCAAATTCAGCCAACTTCGGAAAAGCCCCAGGTTCATCCGAGAAGGCCACTCATTCCGTTAGGTTGAACGTGTGTCTTCATGGTTGTTTGATTGTTTGAGTCTTCTTGGCGTGCCCAGCGTTTCTGTGCGGATGGGCGTCGCCTCTTGCTACATCTGCATATATCTATTTGCCAAGGGTCATCCAAAAAATGTGCATGTATATACATGCATGCATGTGTGTACGTATGCATGTATGTGTGTACGAGATGGTGCGTGTGTGTGTACATGTATATAATCTATATATATATATACGAAATAGCTATGCAGCTTGCGAAAGAGAGTCAAAGGCAGCCAAGCCACCGTTGGCGAGCCGCGCTGGAGCCACCTTCCGACCATGACGGCGAAGGCTCTAGTCTTCTACCTGGAGGTTCTTCCAAAAGGTTCCATTTTGGGGTATAGTATATTCGCGCGCCAATTCCACACTAGTCTGTTGGTTTGCCAGAGGCGCGAGATAGCCTAATAAACCTTGGGTCCGAGAGCCCCAAAGACAAATCATTGCACTTGTCGAAGAATTCCTCCAACGACGCCGAAAGCTTGCCAGCCACAGCATTTCCGTCCTTCTCGGAAGTCTATCCGCGCATGCAAGAAAAAAAGCATTCCACGTTGCCACCCAGGTTTGGCTTTCCAGTGATCAAGAGGGTACCGTACATGGAAGGCTCCGCAGGATAATCGGAACCCCAGTAGAAGAAAAAACATAAGTTATAGAACAAGCCCCCATGATTCTCGGGAACATAAACCCCTAACCCTAGCCCTCTAAGCCCCTAGCCCGTGAACTCTGCAAAGCTCCAGAGCGGCTCATGGCCTCCCAGTTCAAGGTGGTGTCAGCTCCCGTGAATCTGAGCTCGGGAGGCAAATTGTTTGCCGCGCTTTCTTCAGCTCAGGGAGCCCATTCGGGAGTTCGGCATCCGGGCGCTCTTGGAACTACAGAGGCCAGCATAGGATCAACCCTCCTAGAAAACAACAAGCAAACCTCGTTTCGACGGTGACACTCACACCAGGAAGTCAAGACAGAATACCCCACATTGCAAGCACGCAAGCCCATCCCACGGATAATGCTTCGCCACGCAGATTGCTGGCCGAACACATCAAACAAACCCTCCAGAACAATACCCTCCTCCCTCATGCAACTCCAACTTAGGATGAAGGTTACCATCAAAACGAGAAAGCCCTAAATCCAACGAACCCTGAACCCTCAAGCCAACAAACCCTAAACCCCAAATCCCAAACGCCAACCCTGACCCTGAACCCGGTCGATCCAGCACGTGCGGCCCAGGCTCACGCGCCAGCGATTGAGGAGGAGCACAGTCGGGACTGGGCCTCCATCGAGAAATCGCGTCAAACAAACAGAGAGAGAGAGAGAGAGAGAGAGAGAGAGAGCGAGAGAGAGAGAGAGACACAGAGACGGAGGCGGAGACGGAGACGAAGTCGGAGTCGGAGACGGAGACGGAGACAGAGACATAAACGAAAGGAGGGGAGAGGGAGGGAGATTGTTAAGATTCGTGTTGCTGTTCTTCCCTTACTATTGCGATTATTGTTATTGTTGTAGTATAGTATTGCTACTATTGTGTCTCGTCTTACTTGTCTTGCTAGTGTTTACTACTGTTGTTCTTCTGTTGCGAATGCATGGAGAGACAGAGAAAGTACGACATACAGAAAGAAAGCGAAAGAGAAACAGAGAGAGAGAGAGACAGATAGAGAGAGGATACTGCTTCATAGGGGCCCCAAAACTACATGGTGAAAGTGCAACTATGGGTTTGCGGTGCTATGTGATTTGTCAAACCGTCTCTTCAGCATCGATCGAGTCACAGATGAAGTTGAATGGAAGTGGCATCGGTCCTATATCGCATAGCACCTTTGCCAGGGTGGGGCATGACCATGTGCATGCCATGCGTCAACTCGCCCTTTTCATGCAACGTCGTGCAGACTGCTGTTCATGGCAAATCTGGCACGCACAGTCGCATGCAGGTGATCGACAACTATTTCAGCCAAGGCAGGACGGGCTTGCACGCTTGGAAATACGAGGCCCGAAGCAGGCTCTGCAGGCTCCGCCACTTTGTCTCCAGCTCGACAAACTGTCCCTCTTCCTCCAAGATACAGTGGGGGTGCGCCAAGAAACTGCAATCTGGGCACTCATAGCACCCAAAACCGAATATCGAGTTGCCACACATACCGCAGTGTCCTTGGACAACACAGATGCCGTGGCAGGAATGCTTCTCAAGTTGGTGCGGATGATTGGGATGCCGAGCTCGCTGAGGGCAGTCCTTCCACCTCTCCAAAAAAGCCTCTTGGGCCATTCTCAGAGCATCCCTGTGCTCCCCGTACTGCGCCCAGATGCGGAGCCACCTTGCAAAAGTGATCCAGGATCCGGACTCTGACACGCGCAGATCTTGAGGCTTCGACTGGGGACAGTCCTCCCACAGCCAGTCATCGGCCAGCCACACCGTGTTGCCATCCCACTTGTCTCGCTGCGCCTCATGATAGTACGTTGGTGCAACACCTGGGTCTTGTGGATGGACGTACTCACGTCGTTCCGTGAGGTTTGGCCAAAGTCTGGGCGCACTTGCACGAATGCAACTTCGCGTCTGCATCAGCTCAGAAGAGATTTGGAGCCTGCGAATGAGCACTTGCTCTGAATCGTCTGTGCGCACAAGGGATCTGTAAACATTCCCTTCACACACTCCGAATACGCTCTGGCAAGTTGGGAATATAGGTGTGCCTTCATCATCATCGGTCAGCCACAATTCCTCCCTCATGGAAGTGATCTTGGAAGCCGAGGCCAAGTCATCTGCCAAACGCAAGAGAACGCCTCCACTGTGGATGTAGACTGTTCCCGTCGGGCCAGGCACAAGCGGGCAGGAGTCCTTCATGAGGGAATTATACGGGCCTTGCACAAGGCGGCAGTCGGCAGTGGGAAACCAAAATCGCAGCTTCGAAGCTGGGCCGTCCTCGCAGCCCCTCTGGGAAGCGTCGCCCAACATCCTCATTGGCTGCCAGATTTCCCTGCCCAGTTCCGCGCCCACTTTTTGGTATACATAAATGGCGTGCTCTCCCGCAAATGTCAGTAGAATGGCAGCTGCCTGCCGACACCAGGCTATGCTTGTGGCCCGCCTGCCACACGCATCGATGGGGTGTGATGATTCACCACCACTGGAAGCACCTGGTGCCCTCAGGCTGCGGAAAGCAATGCAGTGGCCGTTTGGGCGCACTTCAATCGAGATGGCGATATGGCCGGTTCGATCCAGGCAAAAAGCTTGGCAGTCAGATTCTGCAGTTGTTAAGCTAACGCATTTGGCCATGACAGGGCTTAGCTCACATGCTACAAGCGTCAACGGCCCCGTAAATTTTCGGCGGCTTCCCGTGGTAAGTGCGACCACAATGCCAATTGAGGGAAACGGATACCCCTGCAGGGAGGAAAGTGCATGGACTTCAACTGCAGTCACCAAAGGATCATGGCCATCGAGGGGAAGCGAAAAGGCCGGGCCATCGGGCGGCACCACCAGCAAGTTGTTTCTGGCTGGGTTCCGGAAGCATGTGTCCCTTCGGAAGCATGTGGCCCTTCTGCGCGCGAGCGCCGTGCGCTTTGGACGCTTGGAACTGGCAGAGGCAGCGGCCGCGCATCTCAACGCTCGCAAGCGAGCCTGCCAGGAGAAAGGGATATATTCTGTCGCGCCAGTCTTCTCGCCTCCGTCAGCGCCGTCTTCCTCGAGGTCCGAGGCATGGATGCTGTCCGAGCCTTCGCCGGAGCCGTATCCGCTGCGTCGCCCTGTCTGCATGTTGTAATGTTCGGAAAGGCCGCCGCCCACCAAAACAAGGAGCCCAGTGTCGGGGTCCAGGCCGACACAACCCATCCTGGGGGTGGGTACCAAGACGTCTTTTGGTGGCCAACCTCTGTCCTCCGAACGATCCATGTTTAAGACGCGCAGCTCCTCCAAGTATTCGGAGGTCTCGGGGATTCTCTCCCACTTCGCCTCAAGACGAGTCGTAGGGACCGGCAGCTGGACGAGCAGTGTCGCCTGCACGTCTGCGGCGCTCGCCACACCACCTGAGCAATCAGGACACCTTGAAATTCCTTGCATGGCCAACGCGCATGTCCCAAAACAGGGGTGCCCTTAATCTTCCCAAAATATTGGGAAACCTTCATTGTTGACGGATGCCAGCCTGCCAGCAAGGCCTCGCCATCTTCGACGACACGATGACCGATCAGAACCTGCTGAGTCGCACAGGGCAAGCCCGAAGATTCCTCCAAGCGAGGTGCTTTATAGGTATGTGGCTTGCAGGGTTTATGGATCGGGTTGTTTGTGGTTGGGGGGGATTGGGCCTCACCCAAAGCCCTCAAACAAAACATCGAGTGGCTTGGGGCCCTGAGCCTGTCCTTCTTGGGGTCTCACCTCGTATCCTTGAACGAAACCTCCGGAAAGGGAGAGACGGGCCCGCGAACGACCAAGGGACATGGTCAAAGTCTGTGAAACAACTATATGCGTCATGACATCTGCCCGAGAATAACCTTTAACGCAAAACTAGACCCAAAACCAGACGTGAACGAATTCAAGCCCTCCGAATATAGACCCATCCCTAACCGAAATGGAGACTTATCATACTCAACGGGGCTTTTTGGTGGGCCTTTTTGCCCTTCTGTCCTCGACTGCCTGCTTGAGCTCCTGGCTGCATGCCTGTCGAGGCAGCGCATAGCGGCCAATCTGCTGGCCCCCGGGCCCGTGGACCACAAAAGCTACCTCTTCAGAGGCTTTTTGGTTTAAGGTTTAGGGTTTAGGAGGCAGGAGGTTGGGAGTTGTGGGTTTGAAGTCTTGGGGCAGTTGCGTCACGTTGCATCCTTTGTGGGGGTTTGGGGGACTACCCTCTGAGTCTGCACGTACAACCTTTTCACCAAGCATTATCCTGCTTACCTTGTCATCAGTAACTACTCCCTTTCCTCTCCAGTGGATCACTGACAGGTGCCATACTGCAGCTTTGAGGGTGCCTTCTGTTGTGGAACAGCAATGAGAGAGGGGCTCAGGCTGTACACACGGGCCAAGTCGGGTTTGATGCATGGAGGCCTGGCCTTGTCCTCTGGTGCCATGGCTTTGAAGCTCAACTGGCTATGATGTTGGAGTCAGAAACAAATCTCGCAACAGCAGCTACCACAGAAGCTCCATTGGGCATTCATGGCATATCCGTAATGATGAATGGGCAAGGATTCGGGCGGTCTGGTCCATCTACACTAGAATGACTGTTGAAAGAGGGGACGGCTACCTAGGGCTAGGGTTTGGGGAATGCTGCTCATGCACACATGCCGTGTATAAGAACATGTATGCATGTTTGCATTCATGTGGGCGAAGATGCACCTGCACGTGGACGAATGTGTCTGTCCATGCGTTTCTTTGTGTAAATGGCGTGTTTTTGTCTGACACCTGGAATATAAGGCAAACGCCTGAAGGAGAAGGCACAACTGTACACCAGTGATTGATGGAGGCCATCAGAAGCTACTAACAAGTTCCGCAATCTCTAAGATGCGGGCTGATACTATACCCTGACCCCAGGTGGAAATCAGCAAATAACTGCAAAATTAGCAGCAAGAAGCGGTACCTATCGAAGCTGGCTGTGGTCAACAAAAGTCTTACTCTTGTCATGGGCACATAAACTGCAAGAGTAATCGGACCTACGTCGGCTAAACGCAGTATTCCTGGCAGCGGAATACGGCAAATAGTCATTGAACTGGCGTTCGATGATATGAACCAAGAAAAGCCGAAGAACATCGTACATAGATGTAACATGTACCACTGGATGCAATCGTCTTGGACAATTCCTTGCCAGACCGAAGAACCTTAAGCCACCAAGCTGAGCCCAACAGCCCCTCCAAGAATTGTTGCTCAGTCTTGTTGTTCTCGTAAACCCCAAGACTCAGCCCAAAAGCCCCAACTGCACTCTCGGCAAGTTCCTGGCCTGGGCTGCTTTCTGCCCCGCTGAGTCCAAAGGCTATGCAGCCGGCAAGAAAGAGGCCAGCCGCCTCTCGCAAGCACAAATGGCAAACATGGGAGTTGGAGAACATTTGCGAAACTTTCTGCCCCGGAGCCCAAACAGCCAAACTAAGCGCCCCAAGTCCCCATGAACTCCGAAATCCATCAAGCCCTGCAGCTCCCAAGCCCCCATAAATTTAACTCCCAAGACTGCCAGGCTCCATATTCCTTGAAACACGTTTAGGGGGGGGGGGGGGGTCAGTTTAGGGTTCAGGGTTTGTTTAGGGGGGGGGGTTGACGAAAAAGCCCGCAACTCTCTCACCAAGGCCAAAGCGGCCCATCCATGCGCTGGGGCATCCAGATGCGGTCCTGTACTTCCGACTGAAGTCTCCAGCACAACTTGTCCAAACCCTTTTTCTCTTCTGCACCAGGCCTCTCTAGATCTCCGAACCCTAAACCCTAAAACCCCTAAAGCCTGTAAGGCTTTGTCCTCCAGCCTGTCGCACACGACAGCCCAACACCTTGGCAGAGCCATCCCGCAGGGTAGCATACACCAATCCTAACACCAGAGGTATCTATGAGGTTAACGTAGAGTCCCAGAAAGGGTTCGCATTCAGAGAACTACCCCAATCAGCAACGCGTAGAGGCCCCATCTTCCCTGTGGTTCGGCCTGCCAGGTCGTCCCTGGGAGCAGAGCTGCCCAGGTGGCCATGGCGACCAAGGCGATGGCAAAGCCTCCCTCCATCGAGGCACCGATACCTGTGGACAGGGAGGGTTACGAACTTCGTATATCTCGCTCGTCGCTTGCGCGAGCAGCGGCGCATCCTCCATGCAAGGTTCTGCCGTCTGAGTAGCGGGGGCGGGGGAGGTATGCAGTAAGCTCGAGTTCCAGGGAACAACCATCCAGGGGTGTATGGACGGGCGCATGCTGTACCCTTGCAATTGGTGACGCTGTCTGCTGTTTGCTCACTTCACCAGGAACCGCAAGTGGAAATACAGAAATTTGCTGGAAAGTAAGTGAGGCGACAACGTACAGTTCCGGCACCGTCTGTTCTCAAGAACCCCAACAAACAACGCGAAACATCATGATAAGCATCCCCCCTCCCCATATCAAGAAAAAATTGCTAGACATCAAGAAAACTGAGTAAGCGACTGATACCAAGAAAAGCCCGTGTTGCGCAGCGCCCCCCTCACCCTGTTTGTTCGCATGTTGTTTGCAAATAGGGCGGCTGCCACCCCCAACCCCCCCGCTCCTTTAAACCGTGCAAACTTGCTTCAAAGAACTTCCTAAACATTCCTTCAAAATCTCCACCCCTCTCGTTCTCGCATTGTCTGTGTGTGTGTGCAAATGGAAGGGGCGCTGCCCCGCCCCCTGCACCACCCCCGCACCAGCCCCTCGCATCTTTAAGCCGTGCAAACTTACTTTGAACTTCAAAGAAGATCGCACCATCAGTAAACATTCCTTCAGGTCCATATGAATCCTTTTCAGACCTTTCGGGAAAGGACTGACAGCGCGATCTTCTTTAAGGTTCTTTGAAGCAAGTTTGCACGGCCCCACGCGCTGGACCCAAAAAACTCAACCCTTGTCCGCTTCCTGCCAGAAAGAGTGTAGGAAGGCAAGGATGTCAGGCAGAGAGGAATTCATCTCGAAATAAGCCCGTGTAAAAGGGCTCACGATTCCTTGCAGCTTAGGTTGAAGTAGGGTTTATTCCTTCGCTTAGGTACGACCCTTCGAAATTGCATAGACAATTTATACCAGAATACATACTCTGATGATATTCAAAGTCGATAGCAAACCCAGAACATCAAGGGACCAGAGGACCACGACCCAGAAGACCAGAAGGACCAGAAGGACCAGAAGGACCAGAACAGAAGGGGACCGACGGAACCCAGCTCATCCTAGCAAACTTGTTTTTGATGTTTATCATTGCTTCTGGTGTTATCCAGTTGTCTTGATTCTCACAGTTTTTTGATACCTATGCCGACAAACGGAAGCCGGGCTGCCAGCATGCAGCAGCAACACCATGATCACCGGCACGACTTGGACCTTGGAATACACACCATGCTGGTAATACATAAGCCTTCGTTCCCCTGCGCAGCCGCAGAAAGCCTGCCATGGAGAGCTTAGGCTTACAAGCGTTTACAGGGCCAAAACATGACACAGGAACGGCACCGACTTGTCGCAAGCATCTCTCAGGCTGCCACCCAGCCGCCCAGCGCGGCCGACACGATCATGGCGGGGCCAACCGCAAGCTCAGCCTGGGTGTCCCAAAATTTAGGGCTTAGGACCTTAGGAACTGGATTCGGAATTAGGAACAACTCGGGGCCCATAAATCCATACTCGTGATTGTCAAGGTTGAGAATTCAGCCCGACAACCTAAGCCCTCGAACTTCAAGCATCAAGCATACCCCCTCTCTTTACAGCCCTGAACCCTCAGGATCTAAGGCCCTAAGGCCGCCCTCAACCCAATTAATTAAAACCCAAGCCTCCCTAAGATTCCTTCAGTCCCAAGCGGCCCAGGCCGCCATGGCACCGGCCAGCCTCAGTGGCTGGCCACCCAGCAAAGCATCGAGGCGCTGAAGGGGACGGAACACGGGGGCGCGGAGGTAGACCTGAGGTCTAGATTCGTTTCGACTCGTTGAGATGTGCTTTAGGGCCCTTGAAGGCCTTAAGGAGAGCCCCTTTGCTTCGACTCCTTGTCGCACACGGCAAGGCCTCGGGTTTGTTCGGCATCCTGAGTCTGAGCATCCAAGGGATTTCAAGCTCCCTGAGGCCCCTTAATTCAATGAGCAGTGTGCCTACTTGAGGTCCCACCTCAGTTCGCTTCACTAGACGATGCCTCACGAAGTCTTCAAAAGCCTCTCCCTTCAAATTCGGCTCATCCGTCAGTCAGACGTCAACAACACCGACCATCCCCTCCACCATGCAGAAATGCAGACCCAACGAGCCCAGCACCAAGCATATCACAATCTCAGCAAGACTTCCCCTCGTCAGCACCGAATTATCTGAGTTACGTTGCTCGAATTCCTGAGTGTAGTCTGAAGCTTTTGCGATGTTCCTCAGGAGCCCGCCTGTTGCTCAAACCCATCGCCAGTCAAAAGGGCCCTCTCGAATCGACACACCTAACGACACAGGGCTCTCCTGGCTGTCGTCTCCAAATCATGCTTTCATGAAATTCTAATTCTCGAATTCCAAAGCTAGGCCACCGCAAATGGCAGGCGGCGAGTTGCCAAACCGTATCGCGTTCTGCGTTGAAGATCCCAAGAAGGGTCCAAGGAGGGGTGGGCCTCCACCCCCTCCACAACATGCAAAGAATCGCTTCGTGACTGACACCAAAGGTGGGGCCCCCCGCGACACCCTAAAACAAGAAGGTTGTAAACGAAAACTCCCACAAGCTCCAGACGAGCAACTTTCCAACTTTCGTGAGGTATTCACTAAGTCACTAAGTTGGGCCGCGCAGTTTTTGCAACTGTCCTGTGCGCTGGGTCGCGCACTGCCAAGGCAGGCACGACAGCGTGCAGGGACCAGTCTCCTGCGCACGAGCACCAAACAATGCGGTTGAGAGACGTGGCTCTTCGATCTGCATAGTTACAATACTGAGTTGCAGTGGGAAGGGCGATTTCCACATGCAAATCATCTTGCGGGTCTGCTTAGCGTGAAACCCCCGGCTGCTCCCCTTTTGCCCTTGCACTCTACACCCGAATAACAGCTAAGAACCAACGTGACCTCACGCTGAACCCGTTTGCAACCGGGCTCTGAACCACGACTTCCACAATTCAGGGAACCCCCCCCCCCCCCAAGACTTGAGCCCCCAAACTTTTTTGGTCATGAATTTTCTGTAGTTTCTAGGCACATTCTAGTCCGCTTGTTCAGGCCTAGGGTGTTCCATCCTCGCGCTTTGGCTGGACATGGGGCTTGGCTTAAGACTTCGGACGATTTCCAACTCCGCTGAACTGCCCGAATCCAGAACCCGCCATGGCCAACAGCTTCGCCTCGCTCATCTGCCACCTTGCCATAGCCGGCATCGATGTAAATCCAGGCCTTGCTTTGCTGGCGAAGGGCTTCATATAAGGCTTTGGCTATTCACGGTTCCCTTTCGAGCTTCTGGCCCCCGTCGGATGACATCGGATCCGCACTCTTTTTTGCCACCCGGTCTCGCCGAGAAGCTGCTGAGGCCAGCACAAAAGGAAAGCAATACGTTGCCAGCTCACTGAGAGCCGCAGCAAACGTGAAACAATTCAAGCTGCAAGCGGAGGAAGTGCCGCAGCTGCGATGCACTGGCCCACGGCCTTGAAATGGTCGTCTGCAGTATGGAACTCCATTGAAGCATACTCGGGGAACTCCGCTTGAAGAACCTCCTTTGCAGTGTGGAGCATGAGGTCACCACCGGCTCCTTTGCTCACTCGGCCCAAGATCATGACGTGATCAATCTTGTAGAACTCGCTGTACTGCGCAAGAGCATAGCCCAAGTACACGCCGATGGTACGATAAAGCTTCTCCACCTCCGGGCGAATCGCGGGATCCTCCATGGCCTTCTGAATCAGCTTCAGGCACTGAGCATGATCTTCATGCTTGATTGTGCACATGTCCGGATGTGGGTAGACGTAGTTCTCCGGGACTTTAACCCCTGCCTTGGCTGCCAACTTGGTGGCCCCGCGCTGCCCCAAGTACATGTGCGACATGCCGGTGTGGGCGCCCTTCGTCCACGGGTCCGTGGGCGCCTCCGGATTCAAGTCCAGCCTCACGTAGCACAGCTCATTGATCCACCCCATCAGGTTGCCATCTGCGTTGGCATAGCCACCACCCTCGCTGGAGCCCATGGAAATGCCCATGACATTGCCCTTGCCGCCCAGCTTCTGGACGGCGGCCAGGGCAGTCACCTCACCATCGTTGATGACCTTCAAGGGCACATCGCCCGCCAACTCTTTGGCAATTCGCTGGAAAATGTGCACCACCTTTTCCTGGTAGACCGGTGGCGGCACGTTGGGAAAGATGTCGCACCATGTGGCCTCATTGTTGGCGCCGACCGTGCCTGTGGCACTGCCCCCTATGGCTTGGACGGTCGGCAGCTTCTCCTTCGCCAGCTTCAGCGCGTCGACGATCGCCTTGAAGTGATAGTCTGGGTCTGGGTTGGTGACATCCCACTCTGTCTCCTTCGAATAGACAACCTCATTGTCTTTGACCGCCACCGTCTTGATGTCACTCTTGCCCAAATCGAAAGCAAGCCTGCAGCCGGAGGCGTCTTTGCCACAGACCTGCGGCGTATCCTTAGCAGCAGGCAGATCAGCAGCGCTTGCGACGATGGACACAGAGAACGCATTGCCTGGAGTCCCACACACATTCGGCATCGACTTGACCTCAAACTCATAGGCCCCGCCCATGGAAAACTCTGCCTTGAGTGCCTCACAGATTTTTGCAGGACCAGCGAGCATCAAGGAGCCCGCGCTGCGCTGCCAGATCTGCTCTTGGATGAGTACGCCGGCAAGATAGATGGAGGCTTCAATCTCCGCACTGTCCTCTGCGAAGACAGGCAAGGAGTAGCGGGCGCAGCCATCTGCTCGGGGCAGTGCCCAGTCCAGTGTGGCCGTGCTCCCACTGGCAGACACTGCCTTGAGGTAGTTGCGCTTGCCCAGGATCAGTGGTGAAAAGTTTGGGTCCAGCGGCGCAGGCACTCCTGGCTGCACCAGGAGCAGCTTCTTTGCAGCCTCCGGCATTGGCGCCATCCTGCGACACAAAAATGCCTGGAGGAGATGGAGAGTGCCGATGTTGACTCCAAAATTGGGCTCGAGCCTTTGAAGGGTTTAGGGGCTCAAAGTTATGGCTGATCCTGCTGACTCAACATGACTCACAGAATAGAATTGCACGACCATCGAAGCAGACCGTCCGTTTATTTCACCGCGGGTCGAGTTTCTGTCAAACTCTACTACCAAGATTCCTCACTGATGCAGCTCTATGCGAGACATTCACTCCGGATCGTCTGGGTAGCCAGAGCGGCTGCTGAGGTCAGCACAAAAGGAAAGCAATACGTTGCCAGCTCACTGAGAGCCGCAGCAAACGTGAAACAATTCAAGCTGCAAGCGGAGGAAGTGCCGCAGCTGCGATGCACTGGCCCACGGCCTTGAAATGGTCGTCTGCAGTATGGAACTCCATTGAAGCATACTCGGGGAACTCCGCTTGAAGAACCTCCTTTGCAGTGTGGAGCATGAGGTCACCACCGGCTCCTTTGCTCACTCGGCCCAAGATCATGACGTGATCAATCTTGTAGAACTCGCTGTACTGCGCAAGAGCATAGCCCAAGTACACGCCGATGGTACGATAAAGCTTCTCCACCTCCGGGCGAATCGCGGGATCCTCCATGGCCTTCTGAATCAGCTTCAGGCACTGAGCATGATCTTCATGCTTGATTGTGCACATGTCCGGATGTGGGTAGACGTAGTTCTCCGGGACTTTAACCCCTGCCTTGGCTGCCAACTTGGTGGCCCCGCGCTGCCCCAAGTACATGTGCGACATGCCGGTGTGGGCGCCCTTCGTCCACGGGTCCGTGGGCGCCTCCGGATTCAAGTCCAGCCTCACGTAGCACAGCTCATTGATCCACCCCATCAGGTTGCCATCTGCGTTGGCATAGCCACCACCCTCGCTGGAGCCCATGGAAATGCCCATGACATTGCCCTTGCCGCCCAGCTTCTGGACGGCGGCCAGGGCAGTCACCTCACCATCGTTGATGACCTTCAAGGGCACATCGCCCGCCAACTCTTTGGCAATTCGCTGGAAAATGTGCACCACCTTTTCCTGGTAGACCGGTGGCGGCACGTTGGGAAAGATGTCGCACCATGTGGCCTCATTGTTGGCGCCGACCGTGCCTGTGGCACTGCCCCCTATGGCTTGGACGGTCGGCAGCTTCTCCTTCGCCAGCTTCAGCGCGTCGACGATCGCCTTGAAGTGATAGTCTGGGTCTGGGTTGGTGACATCCCACTCTGTCTCCTTCGAATAGACAACCTCATTGTCTTTGACCGCCACCGTCTTGATGTCACTCTTGCCCAAATCGAAAGCAAGCCTGCAGCCGGAGGCGTCTTTGCCACAGACCTGCGGCGTATCCTTAGCAGCAGGCAGATCAGCAGCGCTTGCGACGATGGACACAGAGAACGCATTGCCTGGAGTCCCGCACACATTCGGCATCGACTTGACCTCAAACTCATAGGCCCCGCCCATGGAAAACTCTGCCTTGAGTGCCTCACAGATTTTTGCCGGACCAGCGAGCATCAAGGAGCCCGCGCTGCGCTGCCAGATCTGCTCTTGGATGAGTACGCCGGCAAGATAGATGGAGGCTTCAATCTCCGCACTGTCCTCTGCGAAGACAGGCAAGGAGTAGCGGGCGCAGCCATCTGCTCGGGGCAGTGCCCAGTCCAGTGTGGCCGTGCTCCCACTGGCAGACACTGCCTTGAGGTAGTTGCGCTTGCCCAGGATCAGTGGTGAAAAGTTTGGGTCCAGCGGCGCAGGCACTCCTGGCTGCACCAGGAGCAGCTTCTTTGCAGCCTCCGGCATTGGCGCCATCCTGCGACACAAAAATGCCTGGAGGAGATGGAGAGTGCCGATGTTGACTCCAAAATTGGGCTCAAGCCTTTGAAGGGCTTTTCATCGGATTGGGCGACACGGCTCGCAGCTGACAGCACACGCAGCTTCATCTGGGCCTTCAAAGCCCCAAAGGCCCTAAGCGCTGTTCCTTCGTGCGTGTCTTTGCACATCGGGCTGGTGTTGAAACACTGAGGCTCAGACCAGCTGAGCGCGGAGGAGTACCTGAGTCACTGAGCCAAAGCATGGAACAGCTGGCCCCTCTGCACAGAATATGGCATCTTGGTAGAGCTTCAAGCTTACAGGGTTCTCGATTCAGGGCACCCAATGCCTCCAGCGGGAGGTATAGAACTCAGAGCTTCACGGCTCAGCCGATTGTCAGAAATTTTCCAATGAACCTGACCTTTTCAAGTCCTCATCCCCCTACTGACTGGTGCTTGGGTTTGGGCTTCACATGGCTTCAGCAGCCGAGGTGCCACCGCAGCAGACCAACCTGTGCCCGAGACCTGCCCATAGGGGAGGCAGCTGCTGAAGAGCAGCGCCACAAGGAGGTATCGGTCCTCGGGTCAGGGTTGTTGCATTTGTTTTTTTTGCAGCGCTATCTCTGATGAGCGGCACTGTTGCATTTGTTTGGAGGCGCAGTTTTTGATTGCCCTGCTTGCCTCCTCCGGTTTCGTTTGTTGGGGTGCGTGACGGTGCATGGTGGCTCTTTTTCTTGTATACTTGTATATAACATCTGGACCAGGAGCTTTCGGCGGCAAGGGTTTGCGTTTGCGTGCAAGCTCAAGATAGTGTGACTTACACCATGAGCAGCTGTTGGACGGTCACCATGGCATCATTATGCAATGCCTGGACGACCTGTCGGAAACAGCACTGTGAAATGCCGTACTTTAAAGCTGTGGAAAAATCCGGAGTTCCTGGGGTAGTGGGGAGGTCCGCAGGGCTCGTCAGTGGCTTGGGACCGGAGTTTGAGGCATTGCGTTGAGGGGGCATCTTGGTGTGGTGGCTCTGCACAAACTTGCGAATCCCTTTGCATAGAAATCGGACCTACTGCGGATGCCCAGGGGCGAAAATGAAGCTGGCGTGCACATTCCGCAGGACCTCAGCCATGTTGACGATGAACGAAAGATAAGCTGAGAAGCAGTAGCCTTGAAGGGGAAGTGAAAACCCGAAAAAACACTGATTCCAGCCAAGCTTGGCATCGGGGCCCCAGCCACCATGGCCACCAGAAGCCACGTCACCACGCTGCAGCACCGCCACCTTCGACTAAAAGGAGCTTCTGCGGCTGAGGCCTTGGAGGGTTTAGGGGGTTTACGCTTTCTTGGTTTTTCTGGTGGGTTCTTGGGGCATTTTTGCTTTTACTCCCGCAGGCCTTGGAACTTAATCTCGGTTTGGCATCACTCTATCATGGGGGTTCGCTACTAATGGACAAGCTCAATCAGCGAGCTTCGGCAGAAAGAAATTACGGGGCTAAGGTGAACGACACAGCAGGCTTCGACACTCACTCGCACAAGCCTGGCTCAGAATTTCTGTCTAGATGATGCACTCCAGGGTGAAACATAAAACAGAAGCCAAGTGACAGCAAACGAGAGACAAGCTCCATAAAGGTCCCCATTCAGGCTAGAGAAGGCACCATATATCATGGTGTCACTCAACTTCGAGTGGAGGCACAAGTGAAACTATGGCGACCCCGTGGTCTCGACCCTCGAACGGCATGAACGGCATGCAGACTTATGCCTCTGACTCCAGCCGCTTCCTGTCGTCAAGAAGCATCTTGTGCTTCCCCAGCAGCATGTGGCAGCGAAGCCCGACTTCCCGAAGACTGTCAGCCAAAAGCTGCGTCTCCCGGCGCATGGCTTCTCGGCGCTCAGCTGACGCAGCTTCTGTCTGCCTCATCTTTCCTTCCTGTGCAGCCAATTCAAGCCGCAATTTTTTCAAGGCTGCCTTGCCACCTTTTGGGTTTGCAGGCAACTGGAGGGCATTCTCCTCCTGCTTTGGCGTGACTGTGTTGGCCATATTGGCCACATTGGCCACGTTGCACGCGATGTCCTGAGCCTGATCCTCCGGAACGCCGAGCTTTGCAGCGGCACGGAGTGCAGCGGCCTGGGCAGCTTCGGAACAGTTGCCAGGAAGTGCGCCTTCTTGGGCGGCGGCGGCCGCCGCGGCTCTGGCTGCAGCAGCCAGTTGCTCTTTCTTCGACTTGCCCGTCATCTTCGCAGCAAGCAACGCAGCGCTTCCCGCCGCACCTGCTGCCGCGTCCTGCTTTTCGTCCTCTGTCGCGCCACGCTTGCTTGCCGTTTCCACTGCGGCCCGCGCTGCAGCAGTTGCCTGTTGATCGCTGCTCTTTCCTGCCGCACGTTCAGCCGCTGCAGCGGCCGCTCCAGCTGCAGCGGATGCAGCAGCTGCGTGCTGCGCCTTGGTTGCCCCGGCCGCTTCCGCAGCCTTTGAAGCTGCAGCCGCAGCGGCAGCAACCTGATCCGCTCGAGGCTTCTTTTCAGCCCGGGCAGCCGCGGCTGCCGCTGCACCGGCAGCCCCAGCAGCTGCAGCTGCGCGCTGTTCGGGTGAAGCGCCCTGGGCCTCTGCAGCAGCGGCGGCGGCCTCAGCGGCGGCGGCACTCTGGTCCTCCACGGCCTTGCTTTCGAGTCGCGCAGCTGCTGCTGCAGCAGTGCCGGCCTGCTCCGGTGTCAGCGCCTGCATTGGAGCCACAGTCTTCTGCAAGGTGGGCAAGGATCTTGTGGGCTCCGCGTCGATCACCGACAGCTCTTCTTGCTTTTCAGCCTCCCGCTTCAAGTCTGCCAAGACCTCGCGCCTTGTTTGCAGCGCAGCTTTCTGAAGCTCCAGCTGCTGCTGCTGTGCTTTGACACGCTGTGCTTGCTCCTCGATGTGCTGCTGCTCCTCTGAGAGGTTCTGCTGCAATGTCTGCAATCTTGTGGACTCTGCTTCCTCGCCCCCAAGGTCTTGCTGCAATGCGTGAAGGCACCGCTGAGCTTGCTGAAGCTCCTCGGCCACAGCCTCGCTTTGCATCTTCACAGCACTCGACTGCGCTCTTTGTGCGAGGACCTGCGCTTGTTCCTCGCGCTGCTGGCGGAGCTGCGCAGATTCCGATTCAGTGGCTTCTGTCTCCTCCTTCAAATCGGAAAGCTGCTGTGATTTCTCGTCTTTGGCCTCTTGCTGGGACTGGAGCTCTGAACGTGCAGCTGCGAGCTCACGCTGCAGCTCTGCAGCTTGCTGCCCAGTTCGCCGCACTCCATTCATCTGGTCTTTCTCCAAGTTGGCTCGCCGCACTTCAGCCTGCACCAGGTGATCTCGTTCTCGGAACTCAGTAGCGCACTTCTGCTCTTCCTCCTTTCGTACGCCAAGCTCCGTCAAAGCCTTAGCCTCAGAACTATGAAGCTGTGCTGCTTCGTCCGACAGTTGCTGCAAGCGATACTCCAGCTCACGGGTTCTTTGCTGCTGTTGTTGCAGTTCAGCCTGCCAGGTGGACTGGGCGCGCGATGTCGATGCCAGCTCTTTGAGAAGCTTCCGACGTTCTTGGAGGTCCGGCAGGCCTCGCAGGAGCTCGGCAGTGCCAGCGCCCGGCGGACCGCTGATGCTTGCACGCATGCTCGATCGTCTCGTGAAGGGCACGTCACAAGAAACACTCGGCCGTTGGCTGATTTGGCTTGGCGAGCTTGTCGAGTCCATCTCTGCCATTGCCTGCTCCAATTGTCGCATCTCGCTTTCTCGGAACTCAAGGAGGCCCACGACATCCAGTTCACTTTCCTCTTCCTTTTCGGCGACTCTGCGAAGCTGTCGATAGGAATCCTCTTTAGCCTGGGCGGTGACCTCCGCAACGTGAAAATCCTCCCAGAGAGATTTGGCAAGGCGAATCTCCTCTTTCTCCTCGTTCTCAGCTCTGCGGAGCATGCGATCCACGACGTTCTGCTGCATCTGTGATGTCATCATCTCTGCTTTCACAGTGGAGACATCATCGTTCGCGCTGGATTGGGCTGCCTGCCGGATTTCGACCTCGAGGTTGCCAGTCTTATCCTGCAGGTCTCGGAAAGCATCCACCTCCATCTTCAGCTGCTTCCGCAACTTCGCCTGACGCTGCGGCAAGTCCTGCCAATGCTCTGTCTCGCGATCGAGGTCTGCACGCAAAGCGTCGCATTCTGCCTTGAACTGACGCAAGTCCTCCCCATGGCTGCGCTGCCACTTCTGGAGCAATGCGTCTGTCTCAGCTGCCTGTTCCTCCTCCGCGGTGTAGTCGATCATCACCGTGCGAAGTTGCGCTTCCAAGGACTTCTGGCTGCTCTCCAATCCGCTTATTGCCATCTCTTCAGAGCTCAGGCGATTCCTCATGTCCTGCAGCTCATCATGCAAAATGTCGGCTTCAGACTTGTACAATGACTGATCTGCCCTGGGCGTTGGGGGCCCAGAGTCCGTCAAAGACGCGTCCGTGCCTTGCCTGGACAAAGAGCCGTGCTCGCCAGGCGAGTATTCAGGTGCATCTGCCATGAGCCGCTGCAGCGAAGAGCCCAGCGCCAGCTGCTGAGGCTCCTCTAAGTTCATAATGGCTTGGATGGCCTCCTCCTTGCGCGGGCCCTCCACAGCAGCCAGCATGACCGCTTCGCACAATGCTCGAAGGAGTCCAGGCTTGCAGAAGGTCCCGTTGTGCATATTGCCGGCCAGCCTGGGCAAAGCCAGTCGAGAGCCGAAGTACGCACTGAGGCAGCCATGCAGCAACTTGGCGCTCCCGGCAGCAGTGTTTGATGGGTCGACATCGGGTGCATAGAGGCGCAGCACATCAGCTAAGATGGAACCATCCGCCAGGTCGTCAAACTCCTCTGCCTCCGCATCTGGATGGCAAGCATTAACCCAGTCGAGCAAGGCAAGCTCTTCTTCAGTATCCGCCATGTAAGGCAATGTAAGGGCCATTCAGGCCACTCCATGGCGAACATCGTGCTCTGAAGACGCATTCTCAAACTGGCTGGAGATGGCTGGAGATGGCTGGAGTGCTGCTGTGCTGTTAACTTTCTTGAGGTTCTTGTGTAATCTAGTGTCGAATATGAAGCTTTGATCGAGGGACTCAGGGACTCTGCACGAGGCCTGAACAAACTGCTCGAAACTTGGAATTGCGAGGCTTCAGACAACTTCCAAGGAGAGGGGCGAGGCTGCTGCTGCTGCTGCGCCCGGTCGCAGGAAGTACCCCACAGAAGGATCCCGGAAGCCCCATCTTCCCAGAATGAGCACATGGAGCTTGCCAGCCAGACCGAAACCCACCCCTTCGAGAATTCAATCACAGGGCCTTGCCATTCCCAGCGATGCCACCGCCGTAAGAACCAGCAGGGCCCTGCTTACATGTTTAAGCTTTTGGATTGAGGTTTGCACCACAGCTTAGACCCAGGCTCAGACTTTATAGGGCTGCCTCTATTGACATGACAGGCAAGGCTCCGCAGTCGACTTCTACAGCCACACTGGCTCACCCCTTTCCCGAGCCTTGGCCAATCATTGCCGTCGAAGGCAGTGAACGCATTAAGTCTGGCGACCAGGCCAGCGTCCTGCACGCAACGGCGGACGGGCCAGGCACGATACAGAGCTAGCTAGAAGCACCTCTTCCAGTGCAAAGCGCGGGTACGTTGACCGTGCGTTCTCGTAGAATGCTGGCACCTGGATCTGTCTCCAACAACTTACCATAGGGCATCAACTGAGAAGCGGAAATGGAGATGAGTCTCCGAACACAAAAGAAAGTTGAACCATGTGGCAAGCCACAGCTTCTCCCACACATCAAAGATCACCTCGGTGATGCTTGGCGACTCACAAGGTAGGAACGATCTTGTCCTAGGGTCCTAGACCAAGCTCTGTGAAAACACGTCCGTCGCCATCGTCTTCCTCATCAGCATACTCACATCTGCAGACATAGGGTTCTGTTGGATTATGCGGCGAGTCCAAGTCGCCACTGCACTTAGCGCCCTCCGTGAGCACGCCAGCGAGCAGGGATCCAATTGCCCCAGGCCTACAGCACGGCGGCACCATGACACAGCTTCTGGCTTCTGGCTGCAGAAAAGTCAAAAAAGGCAACCAACAAAAAGCTTCTTCGGGGCAAACGGTCCGCCGCATAGCTCAACCATGCTGAGGCACGAAGGCAGCCAGCCGCAACAAACTTGTAGCTGAATCGCCTCTTTGCATCTATCCTGTGGAGAATCTTGGTAAAGGTCTGGGGCAAAACAAGAAGGGCAGGGCACTTCGTCTAACAAGTTACAGCAGTCTGCTCACAGCTTGTGTCACACTCTGCCAACCATGGTGAACAGCAGACACCCCCTGCGCCCTCAAACGAATCTCTGAGGGTCCCTGGAGTGGCATCCGGTGGCCCGAGACCAGTATCATCAGTGTTCTGGGAACCACGGCGCCGGGCCATCAATAAGTCCAGATATGAAGGGATAAAAGCGCTTCCTGTGCATTGTTGGGGAGGAGAAAGGTGATAAGAAGTTTGCTTAGGCTTCGAGAGCTGAAGAAGTGTGCCGCTGCTGTCCCTCACTGTATGGCCGAACACTTCAACGGCAAGGCTTCTCCAATGAAGAGACACTGAGCACTGTGCAACTTGCCTCTGCGACCCTACAATGCAGCAAAAGGCGGGGTTCCGATACGTCCACAATTGAAAGACGACCGGCACAATTGAAAGACGACCGCCACTCATTACCAAGAGCCACAATGAGCCACAAGGGCTGGGAAAGACGGTTGGGCGAAAAGCGCTGAGGTCACTGCGTTTTCCGTCTTTTTCTCATGTGCGAAGCGACACATGTCAAAGCAGGACGCCGGGCTCCAACCGCCCATCCACAGGTTTTAGTGGTGCTTTTTTGATGGGCCACCTGCCTGTAGGGTTTAGGGTAACATGAGCGAACCGGAAGTTCATCAACCATCTTGCTCGTGACCAATCCTGCTTGGAGCTCTGCGTCCGCAGCTTCGCAGAAGAATCCTGAGACAGCCAGAGGCAAGGCCTTGGTATACGGGCCAGTTTGTAAAGATGTCCCAGTCTCATCGCAGGGCCACGCCTGCAAACACTGTACGGTGTGCCACCTGTCCGGCCAATCTGCGAGTTGCTTCAAACTGTTGGCCAAAATCTCGCTTGCGCAACCAATCTACTTGTGCAAGAAGAATGATATCTAACGGTATTAGGACGTTGCCAATCCACATGTCGGTCTACTTTTGCTTAAGATCCTTTATGAATGGAAAAGGTGCCGCTACTGGTACCGGCCCCCTGCATGTTGCAACTCCCAGATTCTGCCCTTGTCTCCACTTGCGCAGCCCCGCATCAGCAGCAAGGCACTCAGGGCATAGAGCCCATTGGCCTTGTGCATCACTAATAAGGCTGCCAGTGGGCTCAGGCGGGTGCTGTGTGAGAACCTTCCAGAAGGTCCACACTTCCACGTATCAAGCTTGCACAAACGTGTGGCCTCTGCTCTCGCAGTTTGGCATCCCGTCCCTCATACTTCCGTGAACCAGCTGCTCCACAGTATCCGTGTACCCATTGTTGGTGTTGGTCTCTTGGTGAGGGGAAACGGAAATGCCTTAGCCTCCGCCTTGAAACCATCGACGGCGAGGCGTACAGCGAGCACGGGGTCGGAGCGGTCGGAGGGGTCGGAGAAGGCTGCTACATAAACCCCAAACCTTAAGTTTCCCTAAATTGGTCACTTCCAGATATTCCAGACCTTCAAGCTGTGAACCTTATGTTTTCTCCAGCAAACAGACAGACATCAATGGCCCGATGCTGAGTTTCTGAACCCGTGTGGCTGAACAACTAGACTCGGCACGCCCTTGCTATGAGCAGCTAGGCTTGGCGAGCGCAACCGCCCCGTGCACAGGGTAGTGTTTTAAAGATTGTTTAGACTTAGGAACCCGTAAAGGCGACCTAAACCCTGTTTCGCCCTCAACCCCAAACCTTGTTTCTCCGATTCATCAAACCGATGTAGGCCCTGATCACCGCCCACAATGACCCTCACCGATCACGCTTAGGCCAACTTCACTTTCACAGGGCACTTAGTACCCCCGGCTCAGCCAAGGCAGAATCCACCTAAGTCTCAGAGCGGATCTGAGGGTTTGCAAGGTCTAACGGAACAGTCTGGCTCAAGCCAGGAATTGGTTGGGTGTGTAGTGGCCTTCAAGGAAGAGATCTGAGGGTTGCAAGCATGGCCTTTACAGCCTGTTTGGGCATGCAAACACAGCTGCTTTATGAAAACTGTTTGGAAGGATATTCGTGTTGACTGCAAGGACCAGTTCCTCGAAGATCTGTAGCGCTGCGCATGTCGTTTCCCACACAAACCTCACGACCTCAAGACAGCTGATACCATACATACATACATACATACATACATACATACATACATACATACATACATACATACACACACATACATACATACATACATACATACATACATACATACATACATACATACATACATACATACATACATACATACATACATACATACATACATACATACCTACGTACCTACGTACCTACGTACCTACGTACATACGTACACGTACATACGTCCATACGTCCATACGTACGTACATACATACCTACCATTTTCATCTTCAACTTTATCAAGAGTTTCCAAAAGAGGGGCAGGGCAGGGCACAACTCAGACACGCGATGGCAGGTGGCAATGCCGGACCCTTTTCTGCAAAAAGCGAGGCGCTTGATTGGGAAAAGAAGCGAGCAGATTCCGCTTGCAGCCGTGCCACAGCCGTTCTTGCTCGCAGTGCGCGCGTCCGCCCACTCCACGTGCATGTCGTCGAGGGAAGCATCCTTCAAGCTGTGGAGCTTCCCCAATCCTACCCAACATGAGCAGCTGGGGCAGGTACATACTCTGCGCCGCTGGTCATGGCACCGGCAGGAGACCTTGGCAGGCAAGGCTTCTGAGCTGCAGGGGAGGACATCAATCAACACCCTTTCAAAGACAACTTCTTATCGACGAAGGCTGCAGCCTGCTTAGCCTCTGAAGAACCTGAGCTCGTGACGGACTATCCCGCCCTTTGCGTTCGGGAATTGCTGTCATTCCATGCACTCATTCTGTTCGCGAGCACACAAAGAAACTGACTCAGATTGCTCATCTCGCATGTCATGGAGAGTCTCAAAGTGATAATGGGAGCCATTGTTGGCGACTTGCTTTTGAAGCTTTGGTTTTGCCAAGCGCGGCACCCACGAAGTAGAATCAGAAATAAGGAAAATGCTCCCGAATCCGGGATCCCGCACAGAGACTCCGAGTGAAGCAAAAATCTAGAAGGCACCTTGAAGGCCCGCTGCCCTTCTGGAGGTGGCAATTTGGAATCGGTGCGAAGATGAGTGGGTGAAGTGATGCTCAGACCTTTCGCCATCGTCCTCCAGTCTAAAACGGCCGGACTCGAAAATGGGGAGTTTGGAAAGCCCGGCTACAGGCAAAGAGGGCACAAGTAAACGATGGGAGCGTCATACCATGCCGGTGCGCGCAAAACCTCACCAACAGCGGCATGAAGGCGATGACAAAGGCGACTGCGAGCGAGCACCAGAACACGATGCGCAGATAGATATTCTTCCGAGGGCCTCGTAAACAGGCTTGGCGGAGGTCAGGGGTGAAGCTCGGTGTCTGACTTGATGGTGGGGCTCGGCGCGGCAAATGCCTGGAGGGAGAGGCAGCAGCAAAAGACTCACATCGTAAGTTTAAGGAGCAGGGGTCCTGAAAGCACCTCCCGTAAGGCCTTAACTGTTGCATCCAGGTCTCTACGTAAAGGATAAACTTCAACTCCTAAACTTTGAACCCTCACATGACCCCAAACCCTCGAGCCCTTTCCAGTCTTCAACCCTTCAAGCCCTTAAGCCGGACCTGCTGAGAGCAGGGAAGGCGCAGCAGGCTAAAGCAGCCCAGCAAGGCCTCGAGTTTAGGGCGAAAGAG